CACTGCTGATCTCAATCCTGTTGCACATTTACAAGGGTCTTCCAGAGAAATAGGGGCTCTTGACCGTACATGAGGATCCTTGACGGTGAAGGTGCCAAGGCAACTGATATTCGAGGTCTGTGTTTGGATGCGTTATTTTCTGACACCGGGCTCTCGTTTTCTAGGTCCTATAGGGTTTTGGGTTTAAGAACTGAGGGCTTGATTCAAGTTCAGCCATACAGGGCTCTCCCCAGGGGCCTTGGCTTGTTGCTCTCAAATTGAGCGGTGAACAAATGCTCAGGCTTTCGGGTTTAGCTGTAGCCCCAAACCCTACGAAATAGTAGGATATGACCCATGATAATAATTCCAAGGTACAGCCATGCATGCAATTGGTTTGGATCCCCAGGTAGGCTCTTGGAGAGTTTAGGCGTTCAGAGTTGGCTGTTAGGGTTCTGTTCTTGGGTAAGGAGTGAGAAAAGCCCGACATGGACTTGGCCAAGGTTTAGGTGTTAGGGCTTTAGGGTTTAGGGGTTTAGGGTTTTGGCATCTGGGAACACCACCTAACACAATGAAGCCAGGGTCCCACAACCCCAACACACGAAACCTTAGGAGACAAACCCTGAAACCTGAAAGATTGAAGTGCGAATCCCTAGACGCCCGAATGTGCCTTGAAGAACCACGGTTTAGGGTCTAGGGTGTAGGGTTTGGATATAGAACGAGGTCTTACTATAGATCCCTTACAGGTTAGGTTCCTGAGTGATCCCTTAATAATAAGGGTGCCCTTTCGTCCCGTTGTTCGGTTTTAATAATGGCGCCATGCAATAGAAAGGGCAAAAGGGTACTACTCAGGACCCTAGCAGGTGCTCTTGAAGGAACAGGCCCACGCTGCCCCAGCCACAAGCACCCTAAACCCTAAACCATAAACATTGAGGGTTTAGGGTTTAGGGTTTAGGGTTTAGGAACCCTGAACCTAAACCCTAAACCCTCAGGACCCTTTGACAGGTCCTTTAGGGTCCAGGGTTTAGGCTCAGGCTTTGAGGGTCGGGGTTGCGAACCCTAAACTCTGAAGCCCTAAACCCTAAAGCCCTAAGCCCTAAACCCTAACCCTAAAGCCCTAAACCCCTAACCCCTAAACCCTAAGCCCTAAACCCAAAGCCCTAAACCCAAAGCCTTAGGGAGCTCCTACACCCCCCACGCCCAAGATTTCAATATAATGCCCGCTGCAAAAAACACACAAACATCGGAGCATCTTTTCCCACAACTTTGTCAACATCACTGGAACTATCGAGAAAAATCAACCATCATCAAGACACCCTACACCCTAAACCCTCAAAGCCCCCAAAATCCCTAAAATCCCTAAACCCTAAGCCCTAAACCCTGTAACACGAACGGCTGGTCGATGCAGTCCGGCTGCTGAGATCCCTCCAAGGGTGCCAGTTGTGTAGAAGAAGGCTCCTCGCAGCGTTGCCGGACATGAAGTGTTGGACACCCTAAACCCTAAAAACCCTAAACCCTAAACCCTGAACCCGAAAAACCCTAAACCCTAAATCCTAAACCCTGAACCCCAAGTCGCCATGCTTGGTTTGGGATTTTTGCGGTGGAAGCTCCAGGGTTTCACTGCTATAGTTAAGCCTAAACCCGTAAGCCCTAAACCCCGAAGTGCTCAAGCTGCGTTGACCTTAATACAGGGGCCTCAATAATTAGAATAGGGCTTTGGGGCCCAGTGTGCTATACTTACAATGGGGAACCCCCCCAAATAGTATAGGTAGTTATTAAGGCCCGTATAATACCCCCCTTCGCTTCTTTTAGGTTTAGAGTCGCTGGTAAGCCTAGTTGATCCAGCGGCTCGAAGGCAGGAAGCAAAGCGTTCTATGCAGCTTTACCTAGCCACTAAACGCCGAACCCCAACCATCAAGAATCGCAACCAACACCCCTGAACCCTAAACTGAAGGTTCTTTTCGACATGTTGATGGTTCGGGGACATTCCCACAACGGATGCCTTAGTCCCTACGTCATAAACGCATATGGGGGGCCTTCATAATTAGAATAGGGTTTGGGGGTAGATTATAGAATATGTGCAACACCTGAAGCCCAAAGCCTAAACTCCTAAACCCCTAAACCCTCAACGTCGGTCTGAAGGGGCCCCTTCAAAGCCGAGGCGCCATCAGGAGAGATAGTCATGGTCATGTAGTAGTCCAAGCTCTGAAACCACTCCAAAGGCTTCCTGGGCTTTGAAGGTTTAGGGTTTAGGGTTTAGGGGTTTAGGGTTTAGGGTTTAGGGTTTAGGGGTTTTGGGGTTTTGGGTTTTAAGGTGCAGCGATGAGGGTTAGTGAGCTGGGCTCTTAGGCTCTTGTTCCCGGGCTTGAGAAGGGAAGCGCAATGTTTAGCTTCGTATGGAATTACATTGTACACCTCTGCTGCTCTGAATTAACAGATATGTCTGTTGGAGATCACCAAAAGAAACAAAGCAAAGACGTCCCCTATAGCCCTCAACCCTCAACCCTAAACCCTAAGCCCAAAACCCCTAAACCCCTAAACCCTAAACCCTAAACCCTAAACCCCTGAAACCCCTAAACCCTAAACGCCTGAAACTCCTAACCCTAAACCCTAAACCCCTGAAACCCCTAAAAGCCTTAGGACACCCCAGCCTGACTTCTCGCGATTTCTGTGCGTCGACTCCCAGTCGTCGTCGTCCCAAGCAGCAGAGAACCATCTAAAGTAGGGGCCGCCATAATTAGAATAGGGGTTTGGGGGGGTTCCTTCACAGGCTCCTCTAAAGGGTTCTATAAGATAGGGGCCTTAATCTAGAATAGTATTTTGGGGGGTTCCTTATTATAACTAAAGTGTAATGTACCCCAAAACCCTATTCTAATTATTCAGGCCCCTATACTAGCTACCGGAATTGGAAGTGGCGAGCTCGGAAGGCTGCATCCTCAGCCTGTATTGAAAATGGGTCTCGCCCGAGAAGCCTCGTTGAAAAATGTTTCCATCACCACATAAAACCTCTCACAGGCAGTTTTGTAACCCTAAACCCTAAACCCCCAAAACCCTAAACCCTAAACCCTAAAACCCTAAACCCTAAACCCCCTAAACCCTAAACCCTAAACCCCCTAAAACCCTAAAACCCTAAACCCTAAACCCCCAAAGCCCTAAACCTCTTCAGTCCACGAAGCGACCTCCTCTCTGCAGGGCCAGAGCTGGCGAAGACGCCGAGTAAGTGCATTGCTCCCCTAGCCGAGTCCGGAAAGTCCAGCGCACGAGGCTTCCACCACTGCAGCACATCCAGTGCAAGGGAGGCTCATCCTAAGCCCTAAATCCTAAACCCTAAACCCTGAATCCTGAACCCTAAACCGGCTCATCTACTCGGCATGCATTTGGCGCACTCTTAACACAGCGGCCTAAAGACTTGCAATTGGGCTCTTTCACGGCTTCTGCAACCACAGTGGTTACCAAAAGGAGCCCCGAATACGATTAGGGGTGTGTGTGTGTGTGTGGGAGGGGGGTATGTTATAGCAAGACTCTAACAAGGAACGCTGGGGAATAGTTTTACGGTTTAGGGTTTAGGGCCTTAAACTACAAAACCCTGAAGTACCCCAACTCCACAAGTCGTGTGAAAAGATGGACGCGGAGACCTCTACCTCTCCAGAGCCTTTCAACACTCCAATCTTGTTCTTGGCGCTTAGAAAAACTCCCTAAACCCTAAACCCCAAAATCCTGAACCCTAAACCGTAAAAACTCCTGAACCCTGGACCCAGATCCTCAATCCTAAAAGGGTTCCAAGCCGCAACAGTCCGGGGGTCATGGCTTCCTGAAGCCTAAACCCCTAAACTCTGCCTCCCCTAAACGGTTAGGGTTTAAAATCTAGGGTTTAGGATTTAGGGTTTAGGGTTTAGGATTTAGGGTTTAGGATTCAGGATTTAGGGTTTAGGGTTTAGGGTTTAGAATAGCTTAAAGCACACGAATGTACCCGAACGAATATACTTAGATCTTACGAGGGGCTGAACAGTCTAATTGCCTGGATAAGGTCTCTCTGAACATTTCCCTCAACCTAAATCCTAAACCCTGTACCCTAAACACTTACAGAACCTTAGTAAGCCCAGGCCCTGAACCCTAAACCCTAAACTTACCCTAAACCCTAAACCCTCTGTAGGGGAACCAAGAGTCCTAAACAAAAAACAAACCCCACACCCCGGCGAAAGAAGCCGACGAGAAGGCCGGGGCTCAGCTGCAACTCCGCAGGAAGTGTCCTTGCGGGTTCAGGGTTAGGGTTTGGGAGGTTCAGGGTCTGGGGTTTAGGGTTAGGGTTGAGGGTTTCGGGTGAGGGTTTAGGGTTAGGGCTTAGGGTTTAGGGTTAGGGTTTAGGGTTTAGGGTTCAGGGGTTGTAGTCATTAGGTGGTAAGTGAAAACTAGGTTGTGTAGTAGTAAGTAAGTAGGTAAGTAAGGAAGCAAGTAAGTAGGTAAGTAGCTCAGTAAGTAAGTAAGTAAGTAAGTAAGTAAGTAAGTAAGTAAGCAAGTAAATAAGCAAACGTTACGTACGTACGTACGTACGTACGTACGTAAGTAAGTAAGCAAGTAAGTAAGTAAGCAAACAAAGTAAGTAAGTAAGTAAGTAAGTAAGTAAGTAAGTAAGTAAGTCAGTCAGTAAGTAAGTAAGTAAGTAAGTAAGTGAGTAAGTAAGTAAGTAAGTAAGTAAGTAAGTAAGTAAAGTAAGTAAGTAAGTAAGTAAGTAAGTAAGTAAGTAAGTAAACAAAGTAAGTAAGTAAGTAAGTAAAGTAAGTAAAGTAAGTAAAGTAAGTAAAGCAAGTAAAGTAAGTAAAGCAAGTAAAGCAAGTAAAGCAAGTAAAGCAAGTAAAGCAAGTAAAGTAACTAAGTAAGTAAGCAAGCAAACAAAGTAAGTAAGTAAGTAACTAAGTAAGTAAGTAAGTAAGTAAGTAAGTAAGCAAGTAAGTAAGCAAGTAAGTAAGTCAGTAAGTAAGTAAGTCAGTAAGTAAGTAAGTAAGTAAGTAAGTAAGTATTTAAGTAAGTTAGTCAGTAGTTAGTTAGTTAGTTAGTTAGTTAGTTAGTGAGTGAGTGAGTGAGTGAGTGAGTGAGTGAGTTAGTTAGTTAGTTAAAGAGTGAGTGAGTGAGTGAGTGAGTGAGTGAGTGAGTTAGTTAGTTAGTTAGTTAGTTAAGTTCAGTAAGTAAGTATGTATGTAAGTATGTAAGTAAGTATGTAAGCATGCAAGTAAGTTAGCGCTTTGAGGGTTTAGGGTGGCTCTTTTCGGGCCTTCTCGGCACAGGCATCAACACTTACCCCTACACCCTGAACCCCAGTCATAGCAGTGTTAGTACTAGTGTCGATAATTGCAACGGTAGTAGTGGCAGTAGTGGTAGCAGTGTCGTCGTTGTCGTGGTGGTGGTGGCGGTGGTAGTAGTCCTAGTCGTCGTCATCGCGAGACGGAAACGAGTCATAAGTGCTCAGCCTGAAACGTCTAGTAACTACTAGTTATCCCATTGCAAACCTGGTGCCTTTTTTGCAGAAATCCACCGTTGACCCCGTCAACTCCCTAAGCCCTACACCACCAACCCTATAAAACCATAAACCCCAGATCCTAGACCCCAAGGCGAACATGGACGGCGAAGTCTTTCGAAGCCTCGATGGACCAAGCGCGTGGCAGCCCAAGTGATGGGTTTGAATCCGCCTTTTACAACCATATCCTACTTTGTTGTTGGTTCTTTCCGTAAACGCTAATGTCTGTGCTTGATAGGCACCCTAAACTACAAAATAGCAGGGTTTGCTCGCTCAAGGTAGGGTTCAGGGTAAGGGGTTGCGATCCTAGGGCTTCAGGCAAACCCTGCAACCCCCCACGCCCCAAAACCCCATGAGATTGAAGGAAACTTGCCCGAATAATTAGAATAGGGTTTTGGGGTGATTGCGGACAGAAGTCTGAGGCGAGTACTGTAAAGGATGTCGTGCGCATCACTCAAAAGAATAGGCTTCTGGGGTATATTATACTATACTTATGACAAGGAACCCCCCCAAAAGAGTATAGGTAATTTTTAAGGCCCATATATTATCCCCCAAACCTTAAACTGCAGCCAAAGTGGCAAGTCCCAGACAGCAAGGGCGCCATTGACGGAGCTGGAAGCCAGCTTCGTGGAATTCTGGCGGGGTTTGGGGTTTAGGGCGGTTTAGGCTTTAGGGTTTTGGGTTTTGGGCCTAGGGCTTGGAGTTTAGGGTCTAAGAGACTGAGCCCTGAAACTCTGCATGATTTTTTGGGGCAAGAGCCAAAACCCCAAAGCCCCGTAAGAAAGCCGCTTCGGATACAAGCCTAAATAATTACCTACAGCGCTTTGGGGGCTCCTTATTATAACGCTAGTATAATCGACCCCAAAACCCTAGTCTAATAGGCCCCTACCTTATAGTAGCCCTTATAGAATCCTTTAAGGAACCCTTTAAAGGAACCCCCGGAACCCTAGTCTACTTATTAAGGCCCCTACATGAGTGGAGTCTACTTGGGATCCTTCGGCTTTACAAGAACTCTTGCCTTAGTATAGGGGCGTTGAAAATTAGAATGGTGTTTTCAGGTGCCCTGAATACAAATATTGTATAATAGACCCCCCAAAACCCTATTCTATTTTTTTAAGGCCTCTAATATTAGTTGCCAAGGCCATAAGCCCACAGAAAGTGTAGACTGTCAGTTCCTTAGGGGGGTCGTACCATCCCAGAAACTCACTGGCCCAAAACCCAAGG